ACCCCCCCCCCCCCCCCCCCGCAGTTGACACCAAAAACTACACTAACTCGTCTGGTTTGATGTTCTAACAAACCATTGCATTTCTAGAAACTCGGCCTTCCAATAGAATCCTTATGTCACTAATGAATGTCCAAAGAATTAAGCACCAAGTGACTTGTTTTAATGAACATTTCGGTGGGGGCATTACATATGCAACATATGTGTGATATTCTTAGGCATGTGCATGAGACGGATGATTTGCATTTCACGGATTTTGTTTCCCGTTTACAGATTTTAAAAGGAATGAATTAAGGGTTAGCAGGAAGAAGGGAAGGGTGACCGTTGAGGGGGAGCACCGCATTGGCGAAAACAAATGGAAAAGGTTCCAAGAAAACTTACCAATTCCGAACGACTGTGTCGAGGAATCTATCACAGCGAGGTTCGAAAATGGAATCCTCGCCATAACAATGCCACTGCGAACCAAGAAACAAGATCAAGGTGACAAGGAAACCGCCCCAAACACCCATGTGCCTCCTCACAAGGAGGAGACTCAAGGTGGGTCCCCTCCAAAAACAACTTCAGGCGAGGACCGCGAGAACCCAACCCCACAGAAGCCACTAATTCAAAGCGAAGTCCCTCCAAATCTTACCCCAGCAATACATCCAGCACATGTAACAGACAATAATAAGCATGACAACAAGGCTGATAAAGCAGAGAGCCAGATTGCAAGTTACAGGCAGGCGATTAAGAGGCTTACCGAGTCCAATGAAGATAAGCAGTTGTTGGTGAACGCTGTGGTGGCTGTGCTTGTTATTGTAGCACTTGGGGCTTACATCTTCCGCACGCAAGTGACTGAGTAGGCTGATTCCCAGCTTGACTTCTATAGTTCTATCATGAATTCAGCTGCTCAAATATTTACATAGCAAAACCCAAAACCGTTCCAATTATATGATTTATGAATGAAAAAAGTTGTGATATCAGGCGTGTAGAAGAATGCATACTACTGACCTTGATCCTAGCTACGATGGGGTTTGTGGAATGAAATTTATATTGTCAATTAAGTATCTAAGTTCTAACATTAGTTTGAAATAATAACTTTATAAGTTTATGCCAAAAAAGGTTTAAAAGGCACAGTTGTTCATTACAAGAAATAGTTGCAAAATAAAAGGATTTTAACCACTGAGAGCCATGAAGAATCACACAAAGTTGAGATATTTCAAATGTACTTACATTTTTTTTATGAACTCCATCTTTGCCCAATCTTGCCCAGGAACACATGTTAAGAAATGAAGGGGAATGGAGGGAGTAATTTTACAGAGTATAAAATATGGCCAACAAATAGAATCTACTCTATGTCTGCAAAGGATGAAATAGAATCATGCACAAATTACAGCTCATCTTAGTATTTATAATTACTACACCCCTCCCTTAAGAACACATGCATCTTCATTCATTTTATTTTTAGAATCCCCATTCCCTTTCATCTCTTAACAAGAAGTCCAACATTGACCTTGCAAAGTATACTTAAAAGTATAGTTAACATAGAGATTTTCCTAATATATGTACATTCCCCAAAGTAACATTCCTGTATTCCATATATAGCCAAAATTTATCACATATAGCTCTGTCCATGAACAAGCCATATAGTGGAGGATGAGAAAAGAGGAAACTATTTCTGCGTATCAGTTTAGATTCATATGGAAACAGTCAACAACAAAAGTCATCACTCATCAACTTAAGGAAGTTGATGGAGCAGTATAAGGACGAAGAAGGACCTACGCATAGTATTTGTTGACTTAGAAGAGGCGTATGAGTCCCTAGAGTTGGAGAATAGCTGCAAATCTTGTTAGGGAAAGGGGAAAGAACTTCCAACGCATGAGATCATGCAAAATTGCAAAAACAACATTACTCCCTAGTTTCAAGAATACTACTCCCCAGTCTTTTTGCCATAAGAAAGTCATATTTCAGGAACTTCACCAGGGTAAACATTCTCATATTCTCTATAATGTATTTCAAGGCCTAGCCAAGACTTATCACATATTGCTCAGTCTTGAGATGAGCCATAGAGAGGAGAATGAAAAAGGCGGAAACTATATCCGCGTACCAATTTAGGTTCATGTAGAGAGAGCCAACCATGAAGTCATCTGCATTTTGAGGAAGTTGATGGAGCATCATAGGGAAAGGAAGAACCTGTGCATAGTGTTTTTTTACTTAGAGGAGGCCTACGAGTTCCTAAATCCTAAGGAGGTGTTATGGCGGTGCTTGGAGCCTAGAGGTTTGTCAAAACCAGAGTAAAGGTGTTAGGAAGAATCTCTGATCCTTTTCCAGTTGAGATGGGGCTACACCACAGTCTGCTTTTAGTTGTTTCTTTTTGTTGCGGTGATGAATGAAGTCACGCAGCATATCGAGTGGTGCCTTGGTCCATGGTATTTGCAGGCGATGTCGTTTTAGTTAATGGAAAACCTGAGGGAGTCAATGCTAGACTGGAGCTGTGGGGGCAAACCAGTCTATTTTCAGAATAAGGGTCTAATTTTAACTAAATGATTGAGTCTGGAGTGGAGACTGGATAACTAGAATCAAAATTAGAACGGGGCCTAAGACTGAGTACATAGAGTACAATTTCAGCATGTGAGGTGAAGATTGATTCTCTACCCTCTCCCAAAAGGAACAGTTTTTATACCATTGGATCTATCAATCGAGTTGATGGAGAGATCAATGGGTATGTCAGTCATCATAGCGAAGCAAATTAGACGAAATGGAAGCTCTCATCAAGTGTCATGTGCGACAAAGATGAAAGGAAAGTTTTATAGAGCAGTGAATTGACTGTCAATGTTGTATAAGACAGTGTTGACTGTTGAGCAGTTAAGAACACCTGCATGTAGAAGATGAAGGTGGCAAAATGAGGGTACCGAGGTGGATTTAAGAGCACATTACGAGGGGAATGGTTCAGGATGATATTATCTGAGAGAAGGTGTGAGTGGCATGGAACGTAAGATGCATGAAGCTAAACCGAGGTGAGTTCAACCTAAAATGAGGTGAATTGGGAACCTGCAGATGAGAAGCATTGATGCTCCTGCCTCCTATGAGGAAATGCAAGAGTTGGAGTGAAGTAACTAGACAATTTTTAAGGTTTCAGCAACTCAATGACAGAATGACTAATAATAAGAGTCTTTGACATGAATGATTAGCTGTATTGAGGGGCTGAGGGCTGTCAGATTTATGTGTTGTAGAGAGACTATTTCAGTTAGACCCTTGATGCATTGTTGCATTTACTTGCCAGACCTTCATAGAAAGTAAGAAGCATATAAAGTTTAATGTGTCATGTTGATTTAGTCCAATATATACCCTGGGGCTAAAACATCGTCATACATTTAAACAAAATTGACGGGACGTCAAATGTAATTCGTTTAGCTCTGTTGGCAACGAAAGCCACACAGAACACTAGATTCTAACAAATAAAATGATTATTGATTAGTTAAAGGGACTATCATGTTTGAAGCATCCAAACTCCAAGTGATCCAACAACTAAATCATAGTATCATTAAAAATTACTATGCATATCTCGAGTCCTATGTAGAACACAATAATCAAGGCTAGCATATACTGAAGTAATGTGGAAATAATGTAAAAAATAAAAAAAGTCTGCAATAAGTTGTGACTGGCTTGAAACTTTGAGGATGGTGAGCAACTCATAAGTCTGAGTGCACCAACACTCGTAAACAGATTTACCAGCTAGGAAATGCCAAAGTAGCTACTAGCTAGGTGCTTGTGTCGTGTGTGTGTGTGAGTGTGTGTGTGTGTGTGGAAAAACGAGAGATCTGTTATACAAAACATTGGAACACGTGACAAGTACGTAGATGACTACTAAAGACTCACTTGATATACTTAAGTAGTTGTACTGATTGACAAACGAAAGGTAAATAGGTTATTGATTACATGGTTGACATGCCTCTTTATGAACATTTAACATTTTTATTTCATGCCATGTACACTTCAAATTAAAAAACTAAAAAAAAGGAAATTGAGAATATAATTCATGAAAAAGCTTTTACCATGTTTAGTTGATAAAGCTGTACATACTTGTCTAGTCTAAACTCCAAGAAAATGTTGGGAATTCAGACATGGAATTAAAATAATACTCCCTCCATCCCAAAAAGAATTTTACATATACTATTCATAGGGTCAAACTATATCCACTTTATTTATACGGAGTATATTTTTATTATATTCAGGTTGAACATTTATTACATTCAATAAAAAGAAACATGTCTTAAAAGTTCTATAATGAGTTACCACTAGTGCTGCCACTAATATGAACAGAAAAAGAGAATGAAGACACATCATTCTGCCCAAAGTTCTTTTCCATTGCTTGCCACCAGATAAACAATAAAGATTGAATTGATCAAGAATTTTATTTTCATTAAATAAGATTGCATTGATAAAGAATTGCATTTTCAATAAATAAATACATAGCACGAACATTAGTTGTTGAGAAAGGGTGATACTGTGGGGTCAAATTTTCAGAACCTTCCACAAAACAGAAGAAGGGACTAAGGGTTCTCCTAGTGTAGGATTAGGCAATGATACAATAAAGCAAACATATGTCTTCCGCCACAAAAGTTTCAAAAAATGATTCCCTCTTGAACTGTACATTACTTCTAGTTTTGACGTTTACCAGATGTTTTCTTCTGAGATGGTTTTTTAACCTTCTCAGCCTGCAACTCCAATACCTTCTCGGAAGGCTTCCTTTTCCTCTTCAGCCCTTTTGCACTTGTATCTTCGGCAGCAGAATTATCCAATGCTGCATGAAGAAACAAAACACCAGTTGAACCTTGTATGAGAAACTAATACCAGACAATGTATAAACATTAAAATCTAGGGATAGGAGTGGTGCTAAAAAAATGGCTACAAGCCAAGTCAGGGCAGATATAATTGACGTCATGTTTAAAACAGGTCAGAGCTTCCCCAATAATTTTGCTATTTCACAGAGATTGACAATAAAGGAAATTCACAAATATGATACATTAAGATTTAGGAGAGTATGTGTCCATTTCACATTACAGAAAACGTACCTTCAGGTGGACTGGCTTCATGGTTAGAAGTTCGGCCGTTCTGTTCAGCCTCTTCTGAATGAGGGGATCCTGACTGATTGCTGTCCCCTGGCTTTGAAGTACTACCAACACACTTGTCCTGCTGCTCAAGATGATCAGGCGTAGGATCAACTGGCAAGAAAAGTATTTCATCCTGAGATGTGTCAGAGTCGCTGAAAGTTGTATCTTTCTCCACGGTCACAATGTCAACTTCTTCATCTTCATTAACATCTGACTCTTTAGCCTGGACACACAAAAAATTTGGAACATATTTTTTATGGATACAAAAAACAAGACTAAGCCTGCTCCAAAAGTTTCCATAGTTACCTTTTCTGTTTCAGGCACCAGATCAAACTCATCTTCCCTTTCTACATACTCTTCATTCTCCTCAAGTTCTTTGAAATCTGGAGCGAATGCACTCCAGTTCTCAGTATAATCCTTAGCCCAAATATAGGCCAACCCAGGTAGTGAAACTGAAACAACAATAGGGTGGACAGGATGCCATGCTAAATCTGTCAGCGCTTCCTTTGGGCCTTCAAGTATTTTAACAAGACGTCCAACCCTATCCCAAATGTAGATTTTGTGCTCTCCTTTGTTAGCAGAACCACCAACTACCCACTCTCCATCACCACTAAAACATGGCACCTTCCAGTGCACTCTGGTGATGGAATCTTGAAATTCCCTAAATAAGGCTAAAGACTTAGACCCTACAGCTTTCAATTTCTCTATCCCTTCTAGATCATTTAAGTTATCACTTGCATTGCATATGCCTTTAAGCCCGTCTTTCAAAGGAAGAAGGTTCTCATAAATCCTGAGAATGCGATCGTTAGAGTTTGTCAAAAGAAATTGTCCATTCCTGCTGAATACAATATTCTTTACCACAGCACTACCTTGAATGGAAACAATACCAAGCACCTGGACCGTTTTATAGTCAAGTATAAGTATTTCCCCTTTGGAATTTCCAACATAAACCAGATCTCCATACTTGTTAAAGCAGGCTGCGGTGGGCGTGAAAGGTGCAGATCCATCCGAAAATTTATTGCGCGAGGGCTGTGTAAGTCCATTCCCTGCATCAGGAGTTGAGACGGGAAGCACAATTGTGCTTCCAGTGTTTAAGTCAACAATCACTGGAGCGGATGACAAAGGGCACACCAAGCAAGTAGTTGGGGTAGAGGAACCGGGATGTAAACGAGCTTGCAACGGGGTTTGTTGAAGGGTCATGCGCGTTATCCTCTCTCCTTTGACAACATCCCAGAGCATCAAAGATTTATCTGCAGCGGATACAAGTATGCGGTGGCCATATCTTGACCAGCATACACTAGTGACTGCAGCAACACAATCCTTATCTTTGAGTTCTTTTGAGATTCCTCTGGTCTCAAAATCCCATATAACACAGCTTCCATCAGAGCATCCAGCTGGTATTGCACAAGAACTAACATCATAAAAGAAATTGCAATAATAATAACAATAGTAATAGTAATACGTAATTATAACAATGATAATAACAATTCAGCATTTATGAGCTATACCAGCAAGAAGTGTTCCCCTACGGTTAAATGCAATGCATTTCATGGTTCCATGCTCCAGATACTCTTCTATGACCTCTGGAAAATCCCCCTGCAGTGGATCTTCAATCAAGGAAGAACATAACACAATGCAAAATTAGTGAAAACCCCATAAATATAACCAAATTAAATAATGAGCGTAAAGACCACAAATTGAGCACAAACGTATCTGCAAAACAAGATCTCTTTCCATTACCTATAATTGGGGCATTCATTATGATATATTAGAGATACTAAGCGGCCTGTCTGCAAACTATTGCTGCAGTGGAATTGAAGTAAATTAAATTCCAGATGGAATGGAAGCCTTTTGTTTGGAAAACCCTCTTAAACGGTTAAATTCTAGGGTTCCACTATGCCAATCCCGTAACCCTACCGATAATGAGGAAGAGGGGTGTAGGATGAGATTGATGCAGAAGAACGAAGAAGAAGATCTTCCGGATTACGCGATACTGTACCAAATCCGAGCCTAAGCATTCGGTTTCAATTCTTCCCTCTCAAATAAATTTCTTCCGGACCCCAAAAAACTTAACAAACCCTAATTCGAATTCCAATGCTTTCCGCCTTTCCAGACAAAAGCATAGAAAACCAAATGCGATTTGAATCGGAAATTCAGTGTGGAGCTTGTGAAGTTGGGACTTCTAGAATAGAAGAACCAAACAAGTTTCAAGAAGATAATTGAAAATTTCTGGGACAGAATTTTCAAGGATAATTAATGCAAGAAGAAATTAGGAAAAAACTGATCTTTGATTCGACGGCGGCGTCGGACGGTAAGGGTTTAACCGGTTGTTAGACGGTGATGGGTTTAAGGGGCGGCGAGGCCCAGTCGGAAAGAGGCAAGTTTTCCCCGTTGCTAATTTGCTATTAGGCCCCAAAAAAATGACATGGTGACCATGTTTCACAAAATTCACAAACTTATTATTTTTAGATTAAATTTTTAATTTGAAGTTATTTTAGATTACTTTACTTTTTTATTAAATTTCAAAAATAGTAAGTTTGTGAAGTTTGTGATCATTTTATTTGTCAATTAAGCATTTCTCGCCCCCAAATGGTCATGTAACCATGCTTTACAGAGATGTTTGTCATCTATGTTGCTTAAATGATTATTCACAGACATTCGACATTGTTCTTAAATGTCTGTAAGATTTGTAAAAATGGAACTAAAAGTAGAGTTTATATTTTTGAGGTCAAAGTAGCATTACTCTAATTTAAATTGGGACAAAGGAAGGAAGCAATACAAATGTGTAGGTGACAGTAAATGAGCACGCATTGCTTTTAAGTGTGAGCATGGCCCATGAAGGTTCAGTATTTCTAAAAAACTCTACCATACTTTTATTATTCTAACGGTTCAGTACGATTTCGGTTTGACGCCTAAACTCATTTGTTACCACGTCGTTCAGTAACGGGATGGTACCATGTCATACTAATGTCAAACCACTCCAGAATATACTTTGACGCTTTGAAAATATTTTTATTTATAACAAATAACCGACTTAATTAAAAAAATTAGTGTATAAATATATACGCATCCTTAGTTTCTTACTCAACATGTGTATTGCTTAGTTAAAAAAATTTAAAATGCTTAATCATACTCCCTCTGTCCGGATTTGAAGTACCCATTTTGACTTTTGGTCATTTTTATTGGGTATTGACTTTGTGTGTAAATGGTCTAAAACACCCCTGCGGCCCTGCCCTTCACCGACCATTTCACTCATCCAACACTGCACCTTTCTCCTACTACCTTCGCCAACACCAATCGCCGCCCCTTGCTCCGATCATCTCTGCCGCAGGGCCACCGTCAGCCTCCCCACGCCGCAGGCCTGCCGTTCCTTGTAGATCTGGGGAGACTGTGAATTGAAGATTTTGACTAGGGAGAGAAAGAGAAGAAGAAGAAGGTGACGAGAGAGAGAAAGAAGAAGTAGATCTAAGGAGATTTTGAGAGAAGAAAACAAAAAGAAGAGGAGAAATGATTGGGATTGAAGAGGAGGAGAAAGAAATAAACCAGTGGACAATGGAAGAGTGCAAATCCGAGAAAAAAGAAAGAAAAAGAGATAAGGGATTAGGAATTGAAAATGAAGGCAGAAAGAAAAAGGAAGAAGAAAGGAGGGGGGAAGGGTATTTTAGGAAGAGTGGGTTAGAAAACGTATAATGGGAACTTTATTTTCGGAAGAAAAAAACGTAGAGTGGGAACTTAAAATCCGGACGGAGGGAGTAGTTCTCATTTTCAACAAATAAAATTATAATTCGAGTTGTACTTCAAAATATAAAGTATTATAAAAATATAAGTTTAAATATGTGAAAGTTACATCAAATAAATATCACCTGCAATATTTTGATGGTAACGGTTCAATTCAATATTTTTGATATTTATTTTTTGAAAACTCGTCCCGTACCATTTTGAAAATGGCTCATTTGGTTCGAGATATAGTTCATTAGAATCATTTGAAAACTCAATTTTTAATTCGGTACCCGTATTTTTGCCCACACCTAATTGCTTTGTTGCTTCACAGTTCACATTAAGCGAGTCCGTGACTCACCTCAGATATTGATAATACACACGGACTTAGAAGACAACCTGCGCCCGCCACTGACATTTGTCACATATTTGACCTCACCTCTCTTATTGTTTTTTTCTTAACGTTTTGTGGCCATCGAATAATGTTGGAAAAATAACATCTCTCTTTTCTTCCCAAATTACTACACCCTCTACGAATATTTTGTTGGGAAAGCAAGAACACAAATGAATGTGTAGTGCCCAAGATCAACACCTTTCCCTCTTGAATGAATCTGTGAGGAGCAACAAACAAACACACCAAAGAACACCAAGCAACAAGATAATCCAAGCACAAAAATAAAGCGATATGAGGCACGAGATTTTAACGTGGAAAACCCTTTCAATGTGAAAGAGTAAAAAACCACGAGACCCTTCGGTCCAACCAACTTCACTATCACCAAATTGAGAGTACAAATGCACAATATAACAGCACCACAATGATATCTAGCCCTTAACAACACTACGAAGGCACTAGAATCGAAATAGAGGAACAAAAGTGCAAGAAATCACCAAAAAAACAGCAGCTGGTGCGAAGCTCATAACTTGAGATTGAACCGTTGAAATTCGATCTCCACCGTTCAGATTGAAGCTCCACAAGTCCTTAGACTCCTCCTAAAATTTCAGCTCGATCGGACAAGCTTTGGACCTTCGATCGACCAAAAAACCAGGTCTGCATTTTTCTGAAAATGGCAGCGGCTATCTCACTTCTTGCGGCTGTTTTTCTCTCTTTTTGTGCGTGAATATCCGTGTTGTGGTAGTAGACAGCTGCCAAACTTTTACTCTCAAAAATATGTGGACAAAAATGCATTGAAGACTTATACTCCAAAAATATTTGGGCCTTTTAATTTAAAGATGACACATAGTTGGGAGCCCAAACCCAACAAATCTCCCCCCTCCCGACTATGTGGAGGTGGTTGCCAAACCGGCAATCAAACAACAAGTTTCAAACTTCCCCTTTGGCAAAGCCTTAGTCATCATATCAGAACCATTATCATCTGTGTGAATCTTTTCAAATTCCAATAACTTGAGATCAAGCACATCTCGAATCCAATGATAACGTACATCAATATGTTTAGATTTGCCATGGAAAGTAGGATTTTTGCTAAGATGTATAGCACTCTGACTGTCACAATATAAGACATACCTCTTCTGAATAACGCCAAGATCACGAAGATATTTCTTCATCCAAAGCAGCTCTTTACAAGCTTCTGTAGCTGCAATGAACTCAGCCTCTGTTGTGGACAACGCAACACATTTCTGAAGCTTAGATTGCCATAAAACAGCTCCCCCTGCAAAGGTAACCAAATAACCAGATGTAGACTTCCTGGTATCAATATCTCCAGCCATATCAGAATCTGTGTAAACATTCAAAACAGGTTTTCCAGTTCCATAACAAAGTTTCAAACTAGATGTGCCTCGGAGATATCTCATAATCCACTTCACTGCATTCCAATGCTCCTTGCCAGGATTAGAAAGGAAGCGGCTAACTGTACCAACTGCATGTGCTAGATCAGGCCTTGTGCAAACCATTGCATACATCAAACTTCCTACTGCAGATGCATAAGGAATACGTCGCATCTCTGCCTTCTCAGCATCATTAGATGGGG